CGCGTACCAAAGGAGGAAGTCAGTTCGCTAAGGGGCATAGTCAATCTATCTTCCCTAGCATTTTATCACATCAGCAACAGCTCGCCTTCTTTCCACACTGCTGCACCCTGTGGTAGGACGTGCCCTGTAAGAAGGAAAGTTAGAAAGGTAACCGCTTTCGTAGCAGCTCTTACCCTATCTGCTCTTGGTCTTCTAACCGGTGTATTTCCTCATCATAAGAGTTCTCAGGGCTAGGGCTGTCATCCCGGTGGCCTATCTGTTGGAAAAATCTGAGCTGTGAACGTAGGAACTATTGGCAATAAGCGTTGGTAGAGTTCTTGTTTCCGGTGTAGATGTTATCAACTCGGTAAGGCGAAGAGCAAGGCCAAATCCCGGGCAGCTGTAAAAGATTAGTGTTCGGAATGTAGCCAATGGGCAAGTTTTTTTTATAGATAGTGGGCAAAGCACCCACTCATATTAGTACTACCGGAAAACAAATCAGTCTCGGAGGTTCAATAGAATTCCCTTCTTCGGGTGGCAAGCCAGGAGCATACTTTCTCTAAATCAAATGGTTATTTGATATTTCAAAGTTCAAAGCTAAGTGCTCACCAAGCCTTAGGAGAAAAATGGATCTTTGCATCTAGGGTTATGGCTTTTGCTTTAATAAGTGAGATCTCACTCGTGCCTCTTTTCTTCCCCTCGGGATTGATGTCCTAAATGCCTTTTCCTTTATTAGGTTTCTTTTTTTTGTTCGGATTAGCCAATCAAATCAAGCTATAGAACTTCCTGAACCAGATAGTGTGACGGCGTAACTTCTTGCTATCTATCAATTCCCAGAGTTTAGTTCAAAAGGGTGATCTAGGATTTGCTATTTCCTCTAAAGCTAGAACAGCGGAGAACTATTCCAACTACCCTGCTGCTAAAATCCTTCTTTCCTCGATTCCTATGAGGGCCAGATAGACTTTTATCTGTATTTTCATCGAGGTGAGGGATAGCTCGACAACAGCCCAAGTTATGCTTTCAAAAAGAATGGAATTGAGTTCTCCCTTTACAGCTCCCATGAATAGAAAAGGAGGCTTGTGCCACTAAGACTAAGGAAGAGAAGGGGTTGCCGCTTATTCTTGTGACGGGACAAATGCCCAATTAATTAAATCAAAGTCAAGCTGAAACCTCTAAAGCCAGGGAAAGAAATTCCTTCTGTAGTATAGCTGGAGGAAAGCAATCCAAATCAAATCAGTACTGTAGCAGTCCGCTTTCAAGCTGTTGGTTAGCTATTATACAATTTTTATAAGCTATGCTTATTAAAGAAGTTTCCTTAATAGTTTGACGATACAGGGACAGAGACTTTTAGGGATTATTTCAATCTTCCCTTAATTAAGGGATTTAGATAACATCCGGTCGGGAAAGAGCCACTACTTGGTTCAATAATGAATTGAAGGAAAATTATATCCCTCTTCGACATCAGATTCTTATCCTCTTTTCCGGGGGAAATGATGTCTTATTCTCTACGGCCCAAGGAAAAAAGTGGTCTGCTTTATTTTTTCTTATTTCAGCAAGGGGTGTCGCTTTCGTTTTCAATAAGGACGTTTAGTAGGAGGTACTTGCCCTTAGAACCATAAAAGAACCATAAACATTTGCGAATCCGGCCCTCTTTCGTTCGTCGTGATTGCTTTGATTGCTCTGAAAACACCCCCTCTCACTCAGGGGTAGCGATCAGATCTTCCTGCTTCAGCGGGCGATTCTTACCAACATTCCACTTTGAATGCTGTTTTCTTTCGCTTTGTTTTGGCTTCCATCCCTGAGCTTTAGCCCTTGCTTTCTTACGAAGAAGAGGCTTTCTCAGATCATATGGGGGAATAAGACTCAACAACCGGTCGTTCAAGTTCAAGAAGCAAACCTAGAAAAAGGGAAAAGTAAAAGACTTGGAGAAATAAATAAACTTTGAATTTTGGCCAAAACAAAGAAAAAGATTTCGTGGGGGTGGCGCTGGAGTCAGATCAATCCGACGCGGGATCTATAGGCTCCGAATATCCAGTTTAGGATCCCCTTCTATAAGGGGACTGGAACGGGCGAAGCCATTGGATTGATTAGCCCAATTGGGCGAACAGGAATGTGGTCGTCTAGATCGTACCTGCGGAAAGATTAGGTGGACCCCTATACATTCATTGATTATACCGAAACCAATAGAGCGTTACAAGGAATTTTTGGCCTAATGATAATGACAAGAGTTTCAAGTATGGGTGAAACCATAGGTGAAAGATAGCCTACACAAGCTAGGCCTAACACAAGGCCCCATATAGATTCAGCTTAGGGGTTTATGAGAGATTGATTGATGGACCTAAGCTAAACTTATATATAAGATTGAACCTAAACCAAAGCCTATAGACTGAATTAGGAGAGCAGAGGCAAGACCAGGAAAGCAAGCTATATCGAAGCCCAATGCCAAGCAAAGCCCTAGACTACAAGTTAAGAAATTGGGTGAAACTAAGCCCAACATAGGTTGTCCACCAAAAAGGTGAAGTTCCCGTGATTGAAGGTTTATGGATATCCTCCCCTAAGACGAGAGGGTTGGGCTTAGAACAAGACCCATCGGTGGATAAGATCACATCTTCATAACAAAAGGTGTACACGTTCGGCCTAACTCAAGGTAATGGGCCAAACCTAACGAGTCCAAACAAATTGGATCTTATTGTATGACAAAACCACAGATTGGGCTTAATATTCAAGGCCCAGAAAAGATGGGTTGAATCCAGAAAGCCTTACCGCTCTTATTCCGCAGCCTTTAGCACATAGCAGTCGACGCAGAAGAGAGCAGCCCTACAAAATAGTAAAACTTCCTTCCTGTGATGTTAGTATTCGTATTACATACACTGATGTAAGTGGAATCAATCACCTAAATGACATGATGAAACTGCCAGTGAGATTAGGAGCTTCCTGAGAAGAGTAAGTTTCATCATCCAATTCGCGCTCGCTCTAAAAAATAGATAACCTATGCGAAATCATTTATAAAATGGGTATATCAACCCAGGATAAAATCAATTCTAGTTTATAAATGCTTTGAATCAATATTCATTGGAGGTTATCATGGTGTATACACTTGGTAGTGTCGTAAATAGTGTACAATCAGAGTTTCCTGCTGTTCGCCTATCTACTCTGGTTGAGCATCTTGATTCCCTCATTAGAACGCATGCTCGTTTTCCGAACGATCGCTGCCCACTCTGCAACGAGACCTCAAGGTGCCAGCTGCATCGTAACACAAGTCCTCCCACCAGGCCACAATTCATTCGACGGTCTGAACTCTTGACACCATACCCTTTGGTTTGGCATCAATGTTTTCTCAATGAGCTAGAACATCCGAATGCCAAGTTCCAATCAGCCAGCATCATTCCTGTTCCGCTTTAGCTTATCAAGCTCTGCACTGACACCACGCCCTCGGTATAAACATTTTCCGAGGTGATGGCAACTCGGTATGCGGAAGGATCATCACATCCAATAACTAATACCTTTCGTTGCCTGACAGTGAAGGTCTGTTCTGTTGTTGAAGCGTGAGGGAACGTCGAAGCTCGAGGCAAGTTGTGCCATGGAAATCAAGATTTCCTTGCTCGTCTTTTCCAGCCAGTTCGGTTTGCCTACTTCAATAAGTTACCAGAAGGGCTTCTCCCAACTCAACGTTAGCAAGGAAGTTCCAATTTACTTAGTAATGACGTCTGGAGGAATTGATTTGAGCTTTCAGCTAGCTTGACCCTCTTTATAAAGCGGAGTGAGAGTCATCATCCTATGAAGCATCAAAAGAAGTCAAAGGCAGAAGAATAAACATAGACTGAATACGCTGAAATAGAAGCATAAGCGTAAGAGGAGAAGTAGGACTGTCTTTCCAGATCCACCGAGATGAGATATGCCTTGCCTGCAGGCGAGATTGAAATCTTAATGCAATAACCAAACACAAGTAAGTAGTTCGTCAGCCATTAATCAAAAATACGTTATTCTATTTTCATGTTTCGAATTGCCTGATCGCCCGATCGTGATGAACCTTTGGGCATCGGGTAATCCTAATAACAGCATAGTCATGCCATAATAGAATCGCGGAAAGCCTGAAATAGTTTGTCATTTGTCAAAGGTACGTAGTTGCTCGAACAAAGTGAGAGGCCCTTGATTCACTCACAATTCTTGGAAGAAGTGGCCCAGCCCCAAATCCCATTTCATTGAAAAAGCCCTATCGGTCAAATGAATCAGACAGTGACTTGGAGTCCAGTCTCGAGAGATAGCACCATTGAGTCGTCAAGCCAGCTTCTCCCAATTCTTTATGGGACAATGAAATTCAATACTAATAAAAAAACGAATAAAAAAGGTAAGCCCGCCGCTGATCCCGCTTGACCTTTGCCTACCGTGAAAGAAGAGTCCCCTCACGATAGGCCCTCCCTCATTTTTTTCTATCAACCGAAGAACGGGACTCTAGATAAAGAAGGGTTGCTGGTGCTGAAGGCTTTCACCAACTTGAAAACTCGAAAATGAAAACAACATCGGATTCACTTACTATAGTTGGCTCAGTCATCAAGCAAAGCGGATTCAGAAACGCCCCGGACATATAAAAGCAAGCAGGAAAGGTTCTAAACACTCGAAGCCGTGCTTTTGCAGAAGAGGTGAGAACTCGGCCAAAAGCTCTTCATCAGTAAGCTGCCTCTTTGGTTGGCGGGCAGGGCTCGACTTGCTTTCTGGGTTCCCCTTCCTTCACCTATGGAGCTACTTTGTTCCAGTCACTCAGCGTAATACCTTAAGTGTGCTCCTAGCTGCCTAAGTGAGTTTGCTTCCCTTTGCAAACTTGTATGCGGGTGGGCTCGCTCCCGTATATCCCTTCGCCAACTCTTGGGGCGTGATCGGTTGTTGCCCCGTCGCTAGCTCAAACGGACTCCCTAAGGTTAGGCCAATAGAAAGAACGTTCGATTAAAGCTTGGGTACGATGAATACCTGGGTGGCCGGCCCACTTCGAGTCATGGCACTCCTTCATCACTTCCCTTCGTAAG